GCGTCTTAGCATCTATTCGTCGATAAGACCGGCGGCACGATAAACAGTAATCCGTTAACCTACCGCGATTTCTACGCAAGAAGGAGCTCGACGAGCAAGCGCACCTACCGGCACATAGCGTAACGTCCATATACGGAGTAGATGCCACCGCGCTATCGCCAGCAATTATTCACAGAGAACAGGTACGTCGGAACAGGCAATTTAATGGAATTAAAATAGAAGATAAATATCACACGTTAAAACGGCCAGGTAATTTAATAATTCCTGACGTTCCACATGTGATCGCTCTTCGAAATTTAAATCATCCAGAGATCACACCGGATGCGCTTTCCCCGTTTATCCTCGCCGAGAGCCGTCGCCTACGTGAAATCCTCGTGAAATATGAAAAATTCTTGAAACGACAGAGCCTCGACGATGACGATGCACCGTTTTCTACAAGGTTGGTATAGGTTACGCAACCGTAACAAATTGTCAGTTTAGACACGCGGCTATGAGGCACCTGTAGCGATTTCCGTGACGTGTCCAACGCCCCGGCGTATTTAGCGAACGACTTGACGAGTCATTAAACGGAGAACACTGGCAATTAATTATCGCGTTTGCGTAATCGCGGCTCGGCCGCTTCGGCGGTTGGGCAGCTTACGCAACTATCGCTCATTCTGCGAGAGTTTCCCCGTCCCCCTTCGCCTCCCCCATTCGTACGCCTATAAGCCTCTTCCTCTCCTGGTACCGGCGATGCGATGCCACGCCGTACCCACACGTGCTGGTGACCTTATTTTTCTGACTGTCCCCGCGAACGAGTTCGCGGTCCTCGTTACGTAACCGAACGTAAGACGCGTTACGTCGTCGGTATCAAATTCCAAAGACCGTCCGGCTCGATCGGCAGATCCCTCGTGTGGTAGCGCATCGTACTACCAGTCACCGCAGAAACCAGAGATAATCTAGCGTTACGAAGCTTCATTCCCAGCGCCATGTAGATCCCAGCACATATGCAGATATATATATATGTAAATGAATTTTACATAGGGATCCGGGTGTAAAGACCCCCGAGATACTGCACTACTCTGAAATCGTTGTCTGGGACGTGTTTACGCGTCAGATATAAAAGTCATGGGATAAATCGTAGGCAAGAGCGACGGAGGCTTCGCACCGGAAGAACGGGGGGAACGGCGGCCGGCGAGAGACGGACGGAAGGTATACGTATAAGAGGAAAGCACGGCTGGCTTAAAGATACGAGGAAACGCGATGCAGGGAGACAAGGGAGGGCTCTGGGTATTATAAATCAAGGAGGGAGCCGTGAAGGAGGACTCGGTAAAGGCTACGTCGGTGTCGGAGGATGAGAAGCTGGGGGAAGAGGGAAAATAGGAGAGGGGGGACGGTCATGGTCGTACATCACCGCTCGTATTTACGACGTACCATCGTAAATCAATGATCGCACGGACAGCACGGCTCAACAAAATTCCTTCCCGTTCCTTTCCATTCCGTTCCGTAAGTTTCCTCTTCTGTATTCGGTCTATATGGTTCGCACGTGAGACGTGCTTGTGCGATTCGAGCCACGTCAGGATTTATTCGCCACGGGACGTGCAGCCGCGTACTCGATAAGAGAGTACGATAAGGCGAAGGAAAATCTTTAAAAAACAGTATACAGTATAACACAGGGAAATCGAAGTAGCCAAACGAGGGCTACCCGGTAGTTCGAGAAAGACGAAGAAGCACGAGGGAGAATAAAAGCAGGTCGAAAGGGGAGCAAGTTGATGTCGCGTCGTAGAGGGGATGATAGTGCTGTTTGTCGAGGATAGACAAAAAAAATGGTCCAAAGGCAAAAAAGAATACGAAGTTGTACGAGGGACAGCCGGGGAATTCCCGTAGTGTTTGGGACTCGTCGCATCCTCGGGGTATCGGAACGCGTCAATATTGTCTGGGGTAAAAAGTGAAGCCAGGTTTTGTTGATTCAGTCCAGAACGCGGAGCGTCGAGGAACGTGGGGTCGGGTCTTGTCCGAGAGAAGGCATTGTTTGCCGGGCCTTTAAACGTCATTTAAACCGTGACTCCTGACTCCTGGATCCCTCTTACTCCGGGCTGCCCGGAAAGGATCTTTTTAACGAGGTTTAGGCATAGAGCCAGACCCCGGACCTCCGGGATCCAGAAGCCGTCGAATAGCGTGAGCGCTACGTGCCATTGCCCTTTACGCTTTATTATGAGGGGGCTCAAGATCGAGGACCCGATTTTCTCTGTCCCGGCTAAATACAAAAGGACGAAGGACCCACCCGGCAGCGACTGATCCTTCCTTGATCCGTGGAAAATCGTGTTACGTAAACGAGGGGCTTCCGCACGTCCTACCTCGTGACTCCAAGTAGAGCAAGGTGGAAGGTAAATTCAAATTATCTTACGAATTAATCAGACTACTGTGTAACGTTGTTGCTCTATATCGAATTATCCGTAATGTTCCAGCGATCATCGATAACAAGAATCGCACAACGAAGGAGCTATCGGAACACCAATAAGATAAAAAGTATCCGACGTACCAAAATCCTTTGGCTAAAGAATCCAGCCAGAGAGAAAGATGCGATTGAGCTTTAAGCACTGTGAAAGAATATCCTATCCTCCGTCGAGGAAGCCAGTCCAGGGCTCAAGTATTGGGAGAGGAACCGTGAAATTCGGGAAAGTCAGGCGAGCCAGGAAGCGTCGAGCAGACGATCGACAGGCCAAGGAGTACGGGCGGGCGAGCGAGCAAGCTCATAGACGGACAGACTCAAAGTCGACTTGCCAATAAAAGTCGTTCCGCAGCCCGACTACAGAGAGAGAGGAGGAATATCTGGAGAGAAAGGAAGCGCGTTTCGGACAGATTCCCGAGAAGAAAGAGCCATAAAAGTACAATGAGAGGTTAGAGCGTCGAGGGTGGAGAGTACGTCGTATGGCGGGAGGACGGCGAGTGCCTCTGGCAAGCAGAAAATCCGAGTTTTCACTCGCCCGAACTCGGTACTGTCTGCGTTACGTTCATTTCGGTGTCGTAAGCCGATGGGGGGAACAGGAAAAAAAGGAGGACGAGAAGAACCAGGGTAGGTTATAAAGAACAGACAGAGGGATATGGAAGCCCACGAGACCTTTTACAATCTTCGCGTAACTGAATAGAATAGAGCGAGGAGGAAGTGAGGATGTGAAGACTGAGAAGGAGGATGAGGGTGAGCAGAAGACCCTTGAACTCTCGGACTCACACGCACGTACTACTGCCGTTCTGTTCTCTCTCTCTCTCTCTCTCTCTCTCTCTCTCTCTCTCTCCCTCCTTTTAGTGAATGCCTGAGAATGTCAGAGCCAATACGATCCTCGCCTCTGTCTGCCTGCTCACAACTCTTGGTGTGCCGAACGAGTTTTGGGAGTCGGTTGTCTCACCGCCATCTGCCAAATGCCGAACCAGCCGCAGCTATTTCTGTCCGATTTAACTCGAACCGATCTTTGTTTCCGTGATATACGACAGGGAATTACTGTCCAAAATGTATCCCTCCCACGGACGCGAGCAATTCTTTAAGCGTGATAAGCTGTCCTCACTGAATTTCTATCAGTCTCCTTCGTGTATACTTGTCTCTTTTATACATATAAGTATATTCCAACCAATTGTGCTACTGACAGATTTCAATTTAGATAGGTTCGTCCGATTGAATCTTTATGTATGTTACTTATCATTGTACTCTTATTATTCGTATGTAAATTGTGTAGCCGACCTAATAAATAATATATACACCACGAGAGAAAGACTGTTGTATCGTTTCGATTGCCTCGTCTCGAATGGAGAACCACTGCTCGGAGTACGATACGACGAAGGTCACTTTCAAATTCGAATCTCCTCACTTCCCCGTTTCAATTACGACGAATAGTTTCTTGATCGAGCAACTTTTCGATTGACTCGACAATTTTTTACGGAACCACACCGATTCCACGTCAAATTATCGTACCCATTATTCCCGACACACGATATGCATGGACTAATTCCCTCTTGATTTGCCAAGTATACATATATATATACGTTCAGTATCATTCACGGTAAAAATTGAACGCCGACGTTCTCTAATTTTTTACTTTTATTTTTTTATTATTTTCTTTATTTCTCTTCGTTTTACGCAACGATAGAATTAATGTTTACCAGGAAATCCCGATTAAGGCTCCCTATAATCCAATCGAGTAACGCGCAGCCATTGGCGTACGCACGACATGGCTATTTACGGAGGCCCTTCTTCTACTTCGCTCGCTCTTTCATTTTCTATTTCGAAATCTCATCCGGGAAGCTCTTACCCGATTTCACGAGGCCGCGGGATACTGAAATTTTTGGCAGGGCATATACGCAGCACGTGGGTCGAGATCAAAGAGTGGAAGCCATTTGGTTGGTGCCACGGATACGACTCTGATACAGCTTAGAAGTTCGGTCAATAATAGGAATACTAAATGGGCAATGACGCAATGGTTGCGATAGAACGTGAAGTTAGACCAAAAAAATTTTATTTCTAATTTCGCATTTTACAGGGAGATCTGGACGATAGATACCCCTGAAGAATTTCAATTCAAAGAAATATCAAATCGACTGACGGTCGACCAAGAGTACTAGGAAAGATGCACAAAAGGTGTGACGGATTTTAAAAAATTTGCTTGCTCAAGTAGAGACGTTGCTTCGTATATTACTCATCGATTCGCGAACCTTAAGAATGGCGCCATCTACAGGAAGAGACAAAATCACGTCTATCCGTGAATAAGAGCGAGACACGTCTGACGCGTGCCGAACTCTTCTGTCTACGAGAACCGCGTGAAGGCTATGGTAAAAAATGAGAACCTCTGGGAACACAATAGTTTTAAGTAGTGTGAAATCTGAGTAGGAAATACCGAACAAAATATTATACGATCATATTGAGAGATACGTAAGCTCGTTAAAAAAAAATAAATAAATAAAAAATAAAAAAATTAAAAAAATTTAAAAAAAACTATAAATCAGATAACTGAAGGTTTAAGTATTTTTACCTGATATATATGATGACTCCGTTGGTACATATCCTCTTCCATCCATGCGGAACTGATATCGATGGCTGCTGTTGCTGTTGATGTTGTTGCTGCTGCCTCTGCTGCTGGTGCTGTTGCTGTTGCTGCGTAACCGCACTACCGTTCATAGTTAACACAACATTATGCTGCAGGTTGCTTTGCGGCAGGAATCGCGCAGCCTGCTGCGCGCACACGCTACCAGACGAGCTCGTGTCCTGCGAGTGATTCTGACTGTCAGGACTGCTGAGACTACTGTAGCTCGACTCCGCGGTATCGGAACGTACAGAGTCGCAACGAGTAACGGACCCGGAGCCTTGTTGAACATCAATAATGTCCTGCACCTGATGATTCACAGCGTTCGTTGCCTCGCACTTGACACTAGCCCCGTGTATCTCAACGGGATTCCCGGAGTAGAGTCCGGCGCTAAGGGTAGTCGTGCAGGTCTCACCGGTTTGCTGAACGAAGGTTATCCTCGCGTTCTCGTCGAGGATCCCGACGCAACCATCCGCCGGTGCATTAGACGGCGCCAGAGCTATCCTGTTAACCGGTGAGTATGCCTCGGGCATCCGTGCCACCGGATACGCTGCTGTCGGACAGGACGCTTCACCGGCGAGTCTCTGCGGCGCCCTCATGGGAAAGCCCTTTCCTAAAGCATCCAGGGCGGCGTTCACTCGCGACGTACCGGCGTCGTTAGCAGCGAGGCCCTCCACGTCACTCTGAGGAGCAGGACTCTTGCCATCCTTGGTATGGCAACTTGTGAGAGTCCCGAGAGTCGCCTGACCGTTTGTCAGAGACGTCTGACGATAAAGAACACCGTTACTGCCTGTAACGATCGTTCCGAACCCGGTGTTCTCGACATCCTCGTAGATTCGGGTACGCGTGGTGCCATCACTCGCACGACCAGGAGTGCTTGGGTTGCTCGCCGAGAACTCCAAAGACTTGACGAGAGCGCGATTGACGTTAGCGGTGACGTTAGCGGTACAGTCAGCGTTACCAGTGGCGTAGGTCTTCGTAGAGAAGGCTAACCCGGTATCCTGTTGCAGTATACCGCTGTACGCTGTTTGCTGTTGTGGGGTCTGTTGCTGTTGCTGCTGCTGCTGCTGCTGTTGTTGTTGTTGCTGCTGCTGCTGCTGATGTTGGGTTTGGGACGGTTGTTGCTGAGACTGATATTCAGACGTCGCGGCATTCTGACCGATCGCAGTCGCGTACGCGAAGTTCTCCCCCGACACGTAGACTAGAACGCTGTTCTGCTGGATGCCTTGCGCCGGCTGCGGATGATGATGGTTGTGATTCGGGGGAGCAGGGTGAGAGGTTGACTGCTCAGACTTGCCGGCCATGGTCCAGGTCCAGCAGTGCAGGGCGCCGCGCCACCGACATCACTGGTACACACAGCGCACGCCTCCGACGCTCCTCTAGCCCGTGCGGCATCCTCTGCATATAGAAAGATATAGCCACGTCATTACTCCGATTTATCCTCCGACTTAACATTGATCTTTCCCGTGACTCCGTATACGATCTGCGACCCTATTTACTGTACACTCGTTCGATATATTAACCTTCCGCAACTTTTAGTACCTCTAATAATTTCTTTAGAGACGCAGACGCGTCGCCGGGACTGAGTAAGCGCACTCCGACGAAAAGACGTATTTTGCACACTAGGATTTTCTAAAGAAAACTTTCACGATACAAGGAAATGAGTCAGAAAACAATAGACTTTCTCGCACTCGAACTAAACGAGTGAAAGCAATATTAACATGAGCGCAAAGTAATGTCGACTATAAAGTTTAAAAAATAAAAAGAAGTACAAAGAATATAAAGAGTAAATTTAGCAGAATATCGCAGGTCGTATAAGCAATTCTAAAGTTACGCGCTATGCTAAATTGAAAATCGATACCGTATAGATGTCAGAAAGCATCAAAATCAACCTAATCCCGGGCTGCCTCAGTTCACTAGCCATTATTTCACGGTAAACGGTTTACGCGCGTAGGCCGTCGTGACGTTAACGAGCAAACTGCGTCTCGACGCTCTTACGGGCGTCGTCGATCGTTCGCAAGGCCAAGACTCGAGGCGACAGGTCGCTCGTTCAACTGATCATTGTGGAAATCGTATATTCCATACAAGCCATGTACATACAGAACATATACATATAGAACATATACATATAAACAATATTTATAAAAATGCACATGAGTCAAACTAGGAACGCCTAACGATACTGATAATTTCAAACAAAAAGTGGACTGCTTAACAAGTACGTAGTAACTAGTAGTAGATCAATAGTAAATATGACATGAAACGTGTAACAACCTGAATTGCGCATTTGATGCATATGTACAAACTGGTCCGCGAATAACGAATCCCGTTGACATCACACACGAGGATAATTTAACACGATGCACGGCACTCGATTAAGCCCGACCAGCACCGGTAGTAATAACAGCAGCAGACGTTACGATGTAGCAGCAATCACCAATACACTTGAGATACTCGAAAGAAATTCGAGGATGATAATAATGCGTTTTACAACGTTGTACTCATGACGATGTTAGTGCCGCCACGTTCCAATCTAACACCGCACTACGTCAAACGAAGATAATCGAGTCCTGTAGGAACAAGGACTAGTATGCCACACGATGCTCGCCACAGGAGCAACACTGGACCACAAAAGGAGGCCAGCACAAGAGACACTGTCACAGCCGAATGACAATTGCGAATGTCGAGTTGTCGTTTTGTCGCCTACTCGTTATGTCATCGACGTGCAGCGACACATCACACACTGTCACTGAGAAATACGCCGATTCGATCTCGTGTTACGGTTATGTTGTTACAATAAACAGCAGTACCGCGAAATCGGTTAATTGAATCACGAGGTCGATGTCATCTCGTCGCGTTTGTTAATGCACGAAGGAAGGAACAAGGTAAAGACGTAAGTACGGAGCGGGAGGTAGAAAGGTAGAGCAAGGATATATCGCTCGGGCGTATACGCGTATATGTCGCGTATAGAGAGAGACAGAGAGAAAAAGAGAGAGAGAGAGAGAGAGAGAGAGTTAGAGAAAGAAAGAGATAGACAGAAGAGAAAGAGATAGAGAAAAAGAGACCGAGCGTTGTTTTATGCGATCGTAGTAAATCGTGTTGTTACACCGCTTTTAAAATCGCTTGTAAAATGACGCGCGCGGTAAGACTCGCGTGTAAAACGCACGGACGGACGAGTGTCGTGTTATGACATCGGTGTCATCGTCGCACCACCACTTCCACCAGCACCACCACCAACCTCCTCGTCGTCGTAGGAACTCGGGTTAAGTTAACTAACCCCCTTCGAGTCGAACACCTGCGCGGGCCGCGCTCCCGTTTTCACCGAACCTCACTTCTCAATCGCGGAGAAAGCCACGAATATCGCCGATAAACACTGGCGCGTGGCTATCTTGCACCTCGTACGCGACACGCGCACGTCTTTACACGCGAAAAACTGCTTTGTCGCGGGCACTCGATAAAAATTCCATCCCGCAGATGCTACCCGTACGCTGTGTTTTCGCGTAACTGATATTGGAAAAATATGGCTCCCTCTGCATACCCAGAAACCTTTGCGGCATCTCGACGGCTGGCTTTCATGGATCCATGATGCATTTCACAAAAACATTGGCCCATTCGAGCGATCGCATCGCCATCTGCTTTCTGTTCAGTCGTACGATAAAGACCGACTCACATGTGTACTTTTTCCTATTGAGGCAAATTTAACGTTACACTTGAGACGCGAGCTATTAATCGTCTATATCTCATTACAATAGCGAGACCTTTTTAGATGAATTCTATTTCATTACATCGACTTATTTTTCTTTTAATTATTTTTATTACTAAATGTGTTATTAGCAACGTGATGTTTCCAATTATTTAGAATCTCCTCAAGTACTGAAAGCAAACGCCTTTGTAACATGTTTATCGATTACTTTTGAGTACTTGGTAAATTGATTTTTTTCCTATTACGCATAGGAAATCGAAAAACATGCATTCTAATAATTTAATTGTTTTATAAATATTGAGAATGTATAATGAGAGGACGGATAAAAAGGATTCATGATGGTATCTGCAGTCACGTATATTTTTGCTAATTTTATTTAAGGTGTCTAGGAGAGATAGACTAATCGATTACCAATTTATCTATTATAATAAATTAAATTGTATGATGAAATCCAGCTGTTACCATGCTTTTATAACCGCGGACGAGTACACGGACTTTCTTATTATGACAAACAACACAATGATGAAGACTAAACAACGAATTATTTTACCCAATCACTGGGGAAACACAATTTCTGCAATACACGTACTAATTCAATTGACATATCTATAATGTGAAATCACGATGAAGTCAACACACTGTATATGCCTTGAATTTCGGAAATATATTCTATAATAGATCTAATGAAAATCTTATGCAATTAAAATTTTCAATTAGATGCGTACTGTCCATTATCCGATTAAAAGCCTTCTCCCTTTATTTGAAACACCAAATACTCATGTACGTATTATGCTCAAAAATTTGTAGCACATGTACCGAAATCATTTTTAAACGCGTACAACCGTCCACACATGATACCTTCACTTGTTTTATTTCTACCTTACCATTTAATTCTTTTCAATTGAATTTCTAATTGTACCACTGCGCGTTACGAACGTAAAAATTATATTGATACAAATAAATAATTACTGTGTATATGGAATAGAGCTTATCTCTTGCATTATCGCCAATAATAAAATGAATTTCCACCTATTTCTTTTAAGTAAAGGATAAAATACAACTTGTTATCGCATTGTTAAGAGTGTAATATATAAATGAAGGTCCATCAAAGATTGAGTACTTGAAAATATGAGCAATAATTTTGAATTTATTTTATACGTCAGTCATCAATGGTTAGGGACAATGATCAGCTTTTTGAGATAATTTATATCATCAAGAAAGATATTTAGCATTATTATTATTACATATGAAACCCAATTAAAATTGTTTGGTTCATATGTTCATTATAATGACATTCTTGCAGGAACTACTTTCGTAAAATTTATCGCGAATAGAATTTTCGAATGGGTATACAATCAATATTTCTTTAAATTTCATAGATTATAGAGACAATGTTTGTTCGTAAACAATATTTTAAAAAGTAGTTTTAAATGAATACCAACTGTGACTAACACGCTCTCGGTAGAATATTCAAAAATGTCTTTCTGTATGAATACGTTATGTTCTGCCGTATACAACAAATATCTATGAATCATACTTTTCGAAAACTTTGTTCAAGTCAACTAGCGGTTAACTTATCAGGCTATACCCCTCGTGAATGTTACTTATATTATTTTCTAGGATGAAAAGCATTCTCTCATTGAACATGCCACTAAGCATATGAATATCGAATGCGTAAACAATTAAATCAAGAAGGACCATTTTTCAAAAATACCAGTCAATCAGAAAAACGCAGTGTATCGTACCATAAGAACGGACATTTGACCGCGAGTCAAATTTCGTTATGTAATAGTTAAACTTGGCTGAAATTGTATAAAAGCCCTGTGAGAAAGTTGCCTCCATACAGAGATAAGAAAAAAAAGCCGATTTATTGATCCAATTTCAAGCATAGAAACAAATCAATGATAAAAAGAAAAAGACCAAAAACGTTATCGATTCATGCTGCCGATATAGGGTGCGGGAAAGTCTTCTCTCTTCCCATTTCTTCACATGCATTAAGTTTTACAAATTCTCGCTATTACAATTCGACAACAATACGCGCAACATAAGTACAGGACACTCGTACAATACCACGATGCAGCGCCAAAAAGCGCTAATTGAAAACATTGAAATTGAATAAGATCTGAAAAGCTCATGTGGTTGGTGAACATACATAATGATATCTCTTAATGTTCGTCAATCTGCGCATATCAGGACACCGACCTGTTGTAATAAGCCTAAGTGCACAACTAGATGCGAACAAGGTATTCGGTGATCGTATATAGTCGTATCATACGTTCGTTTGTCCGTTCGTCGGTAAGGGAAAGAAGATGTAGGGTAGAAATGGACCTTTACGTTTAAATTAACTCGATTAGATTAGTGCGAGGCACATTGGACACGAGATGGACCCCCTTCATCTTCTTCGTATGCCGGTGGCGTTTCTCTCCGCCTTGATTCTTGCTCAGGGTCTAAGTCTGTGAGTACAACTTCTTCCGCGCTATCGGGAATCATCACTTCCTCCCTCGGCGGTAAGCACTGCTCCAGCGTTGGAATAACTGCTGGGTCGATGATTTTCGGAAAATTGACCGAAAAGTGAATGATAAGACGACCATGAGTAAACGGATCCCTATAGACAGGCATGCCCTCATTCATTATGCATTTTAATTCTCCATGTTTCGTTACGGTGCCTGGTAGAGCCGTTATCAGGAGATCCCGACCATCGAGAGTGCGAATCACCTTCTGGAAGCCGCACAGCGATTCGACAAGGTCCAACTGCATACGCATTATCAAATCATTTCCTGACCGTCTATAACAGTTTACGTAAATTATTAACATCATTTTTTTTTGTATTCATTCATGTGAAGAATGATATTTTAATTACTTACTTGAAAACTTCATGAGGCTTCTCGTCAAGAAGAATAACAATATCACCTGGTGCCAAATCGGGCTCCTGATCACCCTCGCCACTGAATACGATCTTTTGCCCATCAGCCATACCCTTGTCTACGTGAACTTCAAGAATTTTTCTATCTCGTATGGTCTTCTTACCATTGCACTGTTTGCAACGATCGCGTTGGTTAATGATCTCGCCCTGACCTTTGCAATCCGTGCACATGGATTGCACTTGTTGCAACATACCAGGACCTAATTGTTGGATATGCAATCGTACGCCATTGCCTTGGCAAGTACGACATTGCTCCACTGAACCTTTTTTACCACCGATTCCTAACCAGGACACATGTTTATTATGACATTTTCGAATTATGCATAAATGTTAATACAAATGTTCAGATATATTACCAACCTTCACACTTATCACAGATTACATTCTTTTGCAAGGCTAGTTTACGAACAGTGCCTTTGTACAGTTCTTCTAAAGATACTGACAGCTGGTGAACAACATCTTGTCCCCTGCTTACTCGACTACGGTGGGCTCCAAAACCGCCCCTGAAGAACATGTCAAAGATGTCCATAGGTGATGAGAAACCACCACCCATGCCACCTTCCTTCAGAGCTTGTTCTCCACCTTGGTCATAAATACGCTTCTTTTCTGGGTTGGATAACACTTCATAGGCTTGAGAAATTTGCTTGAACTATATATGTATTAAAAAAATAATTTTGTATCATCCTAAATACTGAAGATAAAATCAAGTTCGCATAAATTAGTGAATTTTTCAACCAACCTTTTCTCCCTCATTGGGATTCTTGTCAGGATGGTATTTTAAAGCAAGTTTCTTATAGGCCTTCTTTAAGTCTTCCGTTGTACATCCAGGCTTTACGCCTAGGACGTCATAAAACGTAGTCTCCTTCACCATTTTTTCTTCAGTTGTTGTTTAGTGTTTCTTGTATTCAAAACTCAATTATATATAGACCTGTTGAAATTAAAAAACTATGGTTTACCAATAACCTTCATTTCTCAAATAATAAAATTAAACCAAATATATCTCATAAATATTTAACAATTAAAAATTATTCAAATACAGAATGAAAAAGATGCAAACAGTTCTAAATAGTTTTCCGTTATTATTAAGCACAATAACAGAATTTAATTTAATCCCATGATGTGAGTAAATCTAACGAAAACTGTTTAAAAGCATAAACGAAAGATTTCAAAATGGCGGAAGACTGTGTTTTATCATCCACAAAACTCTAATACCCAGTTATTGCCAATGCCATGGCTCAAGTAGCGCAAGAGTAAAAAAAGGCAGCATTTAATCATCTATATGAATTAAAAATAAATTTAAATATATACAAATGCAAATATATATATATATACACGATTATTAAAGCAGTGACCAAAATGCACGAGGCCCTTTTCTCTTTCTTTCGTTCATTCATTCATTCTTAAACAAAGAAACGACCACGCTTTCTAGAGCATTCTGCTACCTAATGACTATCAAATATTCGCGTGACAAAGCATATTTCCAAATTACAGAAACACTAGAATGATTACAAGAACACAGAGCACCGTCACCCACGAAATCCTCTGTGCTTTTCACAAAAATGTAAGAGGTGGAATCATACTAATAGATGCTATCCTAAAGCGGATATCCCATCAGCTGAGCATAGAAGATGCTTTTCACGGTGCGTTAGTTTACCAAATCCCCCATTGCGCGTCCAAAAGTTTTCCGCACGAAGAAATATCGGAGAGAATAAAATTACTAATGAGAATAGTGCAAAAAGAATAATCCTGAGTCAGTTCGATCAAATATATTTCGTAACTCGTACAGGATCTACAGAAATTATTTGGTAGCCTTCATCAACGACCACTTCCCGTTCGAGAAACGTCATTAGTGCGACTCGCGCACAGCTACGGCTTGGGCAAGAACCTGCAACGGCCACGACCTCGACAGCAAATCGCTATGGAGCGATTCGCTGTTTCCTCAAACTATTGATCCTACCAAATGATATTCTCATAAATTGTATAATTTACACGCGATCCTGTATTTACAGTTACACTCTTACTTGCCTCAGTGCAGATTCCGTGTGCTTGAGAAGTGTGACAGAACAGGAACGTATATTACTCACTCCTTGCAATAGAAGTTCACGAACTGTACTATTCGTTGTATCTTCCTACCGATATTCCCGTTTCGCTCACGTTCTCGAAACTTCCTCCCTGGCAATGAACGTCATACGGACTCCAACCAATCAGCTTCTTGTGGAAACGCTTGCACTGCTATGACTATGTAACGGTCATCTTCGAAAGCATTAACCGACTTCCATGAATTCAGGTACTGTTGGTAAGGTCGTTTTTAAAAACTTCAGATCAGACAATTGTTGACGAATTATTTTTTAATTTCATACATTCTTTCGTTAAAAAACAAGTTGCCGCATTTGCACTTATTAATAGGACTTATACTTATTTGTAAGAATAAAATTACTTTTCACATCTTATATAAAGTGCGTTGCACAGCTACGCAATAGAAAATTGTTAAATAATAAAGTAATATAAGCAATGTCTTCTTGTCGATATCAATTTTTAGAACTTTTTTTTCCATTTAACATAATATAAAAGGGTTACTATCATAAATTAAAACTTAGATATCTCTATCTTAATCAAAGCTTATATATATTTTGTTGATATCAGGGTTAAAAAAATGTTTTGTATCCTCTGATTTTAAATATTATAATCCCATAAGATTTAACGGCGTTAAAAAATAATAGGCAAATTACTGGGTGCGGTGGCAAGTCGTGGCGTGGTGACTATTCTTGGGCTGCGCGGTGTACGAGATACAGATTGATTTCCTACTCGACTTTGTGATTTATTCGGCGTATTAAAATTATGTCGCGGACTTGGAACAGTCAGGCGGCTCGCTCTCAATGGTTTTACTGGCGTTTTTACTGGTGTTTTCGATTTCTGTTTGTTGGTTACATTATTCAGTAAATGTTCTGGCAAAAAAGAGCTTCGCAGTTCTTCTCTTTGCTCCAAATGCTCTTGAAAACGTCCATACGATGTATCTGTCACATTCATGGAACTGGACTTTCTCTTACGTCTTTTTTCAGATGGCATTGTTTGGGAATTCCTGTTTCCAGAATTGTTGAATATTCTCCGCGATGCCTAATGAAAACATTGTTATAAGCAAATTTACCGGATGAACTTTATTGTTATGTACAATACCCTTACCCTACTGCCTTTTTTTATCTTTGCGGAAATCACTTTCGGACGATTTTTGTCACTGCTTGCAGTGCGTTTCTTATGCACGGAACTTATTGAAGATGGAGTGGGTTCGCAAGGCAGCTTCCGCTTTGATGAAGCCGGTGTTAAACCGGCCACACCAGTTCTGCCTGGTGTACGTTTCGCAGAGCCTAATTGTGTTTTATTATTTTGATCCTTTGCATGCTTCTGAAAAATAACATGTTCGTTATTAAATCATGTTTGATTATGTTAATAAATACTGGCAAACACATTTGTTGAACTTACTCTAGCTTCTTTCATGGAAGCCTTCGACTTCTCGTAATCTTCCCATGTCTGTTTAAGAAAGTCAGCTAATGGTACTCCGTTAACAGTGAATACGGTTCCATTTTTTTCTTCATATCTGTCAGCAAAGTTATTTAACTTTTCCTCGATTACTGGTAATTTCTGAGGAGCAGTACATTTTTATATTTTCTTGTATTACTGATAAAAAGAAATTTTAATGATCAAAATTATGTACCTTTTGAATTTGTTTACGTTCCCTTTCCTCAGCAAGCAGCTGCCCACCGCGGTTATTATAGCGCCCCGGATCACTAGCGCGCTGTTCTAATTCTTTTATTTTTTCCCACAGATTTTGTCGCTCTACCAAAAGTTCGAATGTTGACCTAAAATATAAAAAATATACATCTATTACATGTATAAGATAGAAAATAATATAATAAAGCTTAGCGATAAATTCATTCTTCAATTAATGATTATAAATTATAAACAAATTCAATATAACTTACTTATTAGCTTCATAAAACTTGCGAAGTTGCTCAGCTTCCAATTCGTGATGGAGCAATAAGTCCTCTGTATACACTTCCGAATGAAAGAAAACAAATTCCTTTCGCTGTTCTTCACTATATTTACATAAGTCCCATAAATCCTGTATTTGTAATCGAATTTTTTTTATATACTTTGCCACGTTCTCAGTCCTTTTTTCTTTACATCGCTTAATTTCATCGTTCAGCTGAAATTTAAACTCTTTAGAATACACTCTTTTGTACGTTTTTCTCAATCTCAACAGATTTTACAATGATAGCAAACATGTAACAAAGAGTCTTGATATATTAATAAGTTAATGGAGACTCACAGCAGTTAAAGTTGTGACATTGTAATCGGGATACGTCTGGAGAAATTTTTCGCACAAATGTTGAGGCTCTTCTAAATATTTCCATAAAGTTATCAATTCCTCCCTCTTTTGTTGAGCTTGAAATTTGGCCTCTTCAACCTGTTCTTTCAGACTGTCTCGAAGTTCCTTTAAATTGGCCATGTTAGTGCTTGTGTAAACGAAATTCTCATCATCGTTACACACAACACGTTCAAAATCCAACGACGGTGTGATTCGTAATTCATCCATCATTTTAATAATTGCGCGTCGCGTGTCTCGGAATATACTTTCTAGTCGATTCTATAAATATGCATGAAATACAATTTCATCAATGTTAAATTCAAACTATGTATGAGTGAACCAGTTAATAGATTTCAATTGTCTAACCTTCTCAGTTTTCTGTTGCTCCAAATATTCTTTAAATTCTTGAAGCTCCTCTTCAGTTGGAACCACAGAATGTAATTCCCTTGGCGATGTACCAAGACTGTCGCAAATTTCAAGTTCCTGAGAAGAATTATTCATGAGCATATCAATGAAATTGCATAGCATAACAGGAATAGTATCTCACATAAATACTATTTGTTTATTGTAACTTACAGTTTCTAGTAACTCATGGAAATATTTAAGTCTCCGATCTTTAATGGAACGCAGATGATCAACTTCAGATTCTAATGAGTTACGCATTGGCAATAGATTCACATATTCTTCATCGATGCTGTTGTCTTCCAATTGAAGTTCCTAGCAAGATTAAAAATTTAGATAATACTTACATTAGTTACATTCAACATTAAATAACACCACAATTGTCACTTATATGATATACCTTGGACAACTCTTTTTTCTTGAGATTTAAATCTTGGATTTGTTGTATAAATAATTGTTCCTTCTCTGTTGTTTCTTTTACCATCTCCTTCAGTAACTCCTATCATCAAATTTAGATTTTTTTAAACATAATGACTTCAAGTCACAAGATTTATCTATTATTGTTTTTATTAAACATATATTGAACATTTTGACATAATAAGTGAAATATCAATAATGATTTACAAATAATAATTCTATATATAATTAAACAGCTTTACCGTTACATGATTATGTACAGTGGTACAGAAATATCCCTTTGCTTCTTCACTATAGCCAATCCGATCCCAAAGTTTTTGTAGTTTTGTACATGCTTCTTTCAATACATCGAAAGTATCATCAAAGCTCTTCTCCCTACAGTTACAATTCAATGTTAAATACTAATTTGCTACATTAAAATATAATATATATATTCAGTAAAACTGCAGAATACATTTTCATCTTGAAGAGCTTCGTGTACAAATTTTTATTTTGCTAAATATTTGAATATAATGTAAATATAAGCCTCACATTGGTCAGAGACGTTTGATTTTAACGTGTACGTTTAAACTCGATTTACTGCGCGATGAGACAATGGAATACTGAAATTTTAAAGGTCATTCGAGTTTAAACAATAAATCGTATCTGTGTAATAGAACCTAGATTTCAGACAATTATTTTAGCCCTTATTTAGTATTTTATATTAGTGAAACTAACTATAAGATTTATTAGCGTAAATATAAAACTAACGTTGGTCACCGACATTTTATTCCAACGTGTACGTTTAAATTCGATTTACTGCAGAGAGAATCCGGTACTTGCATTTTTTAAATAAACCGAGTTTAAAGAATAGACAATATTTGTGCAATCGAGCCTAAAGTTCAGGCAATTGCTTAACGTTTACTTAATTTTTACTAGGAAATCTAATTCTAGAATCCATTTCTAGACAACAAAGATGACTGAACAGGTTGTACCATGTACATTGTGCCAAGTAATGGTTCTCAATCATTTACGTCTCTCACAAATAAATTAAGATAACGATTACTCAAGACTTTCCTGTATAATATCTAAAGAGTGGATCGACTAAGTTGCTTTATAAAAATTAACAACACATTGATAATCCATTCGTTTAAAAACTAATTTCTTAACTAAAACTTTAACATCAGGGTTGACATTTAATGGCATCATGCCGTTTCTGTACTTTGCAAGGGGTAAATACAATTTTACATACCCAGGTACACTCTCGTCCATAGCTATCTTCTTCTTCATACGCGAAAGAAAAACCTAATAATAATAAAAAGGAATCTGGTACTTCAAAATCAATAACGTTCTGATGCACTTACATTTGGAATGGAAACTTTGGACGGTTTACGGCAACTAGAATCAACGCTTTTCTTTTGAATTCATAACGAGCTATGATTGGTGAAGATCATTGCTGAAACACGCAGGCGCCTAAACTTGAACTTTCACGTATTCCGAAAGGCAATTATAATAGACTTCAAACACCATTTTTATGAAAGAAGACGATGGGGTTGTTCATAAAGTTGCTACAAAGGTACTAGAATTTTTTGATCTCTCTCGCACTACAGTTAAAAGTGTGTAGGTATCTTTCTTTCTTAAGAGTTCAGATGGCGTTACGTTAATCATAGATAGATATAGGATTCTTCTCATAAGCCTGCCTCTTTATGACTAAATACACAGAGGAGATATTAATCATCAACAAGTATTAATAAGGAGGTTCTGGAAGGGGTTAAGGTACTATTTCATGGACGCGAGTACCTTTAAAATGCTATACAGTTAATTTCAGACAAGGAATGCACGGAGGATGGACCCTCTTTATCAATGCCTCTTCAGTGCCAAATACCAAATATTCGGTTTTAACTGGGCGATCAGCTATTCAGATACTAGCATTTTATAAATAAAAGGAATTTACTTATTCATATCTAAAAATGTTTCCATCAACTTCATGTTGATTGCTTGCATATGACGTGTTGCTGATACACACTTTTCCAATTCCTGCAAAACCTTTATTTCGAAGTTTATCCGCATTCTTGTGAAATACTATGGTAAATGTTACAGGGTCCAGGATAATAAAGGTATGAAGGGAAACCAAAATTTTAAGCGAATACATTTTTAATCAAAGCCTTATATTTTGTATTAAATATGTGCTGAAATAGTAAACAAAAAAAAGCAAATCTCTTTACAGTAAAAGAAAGTGCGATTGTAATAATGATCATAAAACTTATATCCTGATATATTTGCTCAAAACCATTAAGTTTGTTTGCAATTAAGCTCATGTTTTTTAATGCGATGCGGGAAAAATTTACGTTTGCATAGCTTGCATTGAACAAGTTCTGCTTTATGCTTTTCCCAGTCAACTTCAGGTTCATTAATATCTGTAAAGATAAATTTCAATATCAGTTTTATTGTAGCAAAACATATTTTTGTTCATAAATAAATATCAGGAAAATAACTATACCTAGCGGGGGTGGGAATTCACCAATATTTTCCATTGCTTGTGAATCTGTAGGGGTGTCAGATTCATTGACTGTCCTTGAATAGTTTATGCTTCCAGCAGGTGATCTCAGTAATTGGTGTCGTGGTTTCATAGGATTAAAACTTTTATCTAACTGTAAACGAAAACAAATATGACAATTTAAAATAATTGTAACAACTATTATTATATTACAGTTTTGAGACTTTTGCAACCATTGTACATATAATTACAATTGGCTTTTGTGTTGGAGCCATGTGTGGAAGTTTAAATTTTCCGTTGTTTCTCACACATTACAGCTTGCTTTATCAGGGCTTGAAAGACACTCTGATACCGTCCAATACTGTATGATAGTATCGTCAGACACGACTCCAACCCCAAGGCTAATTGTAATTATACTTTTATCATATATATTTATACTTTCATATAATTATACCTGGGAATTGCTTCTAACTAAAATATTTTGTTCTTCAGCAGATGAATACGCAGATTCTCCAGGTGATCTTTCAGCTTCAATTTTCGTTTTAGGTTTTTTGTTTTGAGTAATGTTCTTGGATACATCATTCTCATCAGCTGTACTGATAACTTTCACACCTTCAGATTTTTCAGTATGTTTTGTCTTGTTCCTTACCCGTCGTGTGGCTGGTGTTGTATTTAATAATTTTTTAAATATCTTTGAGTTTTTCTGTGGCCCTCCTTCTTTTAAATTGGCATCTTTTTTTGAAGGATTTTCTTTGAAATTCCCATTTTCTGTTGTGTTTATCTCAATAGGCTTAGATCGTTTCTTTCTATTTGTATTTTCAGGTAGACTAGGAGTCAATGTAGAATTCTCTTCATAGGATCTCTCTTTCTTACTGTATTTCTTTTTTCTTGTATTTCGTGTCTCTTTTGGTTTGTTCACATCTTCTACATCAGTCTGAACTGTAGAATCAAAATGCAAAGTAACTCTAACATCATTAAACCTAATCATGTCCTCCATTTCATAATTATCATATTTGACTGAATTATCTGTTTCGCAATCTGGACTAAATATACTCCTAGATGTTTTAACTTGCTCCAAATGTTTATCATGCAACTGACCATTTTCAATTTCCTTTAAGATATTTGAATGTTTATTCTTTATTTGACCATCTGCTGAATGCTTTGGAATTTTTGTTGAACTTTCTTCCAGTATATTATATTTTTCATGAATATTCTCATTTTCTTGCAACTGAAAATATAAAAACAACATATAAATAATGGTACACTGAATTCTAAAACTAGTTGATAGAGAAGGACAATGCATACTTGATTTCGACATGAAACATTGTTGCATTTACACAAAGGTCCACAATGATTATTCTTTTTAACACACCCACAAATCTTATTTGAGCAGTTGCCTTTACAAGTGCAACCTTTTATATTAACATTTGGAGATGCTGTCACTATTTTACCAGTAATTTGTTTCAAATTTTCATTCTCCAATTTAAGCAATCTCAGTTCTTCCTCTAAACGCAATATTATCTTTTGGGCATCCTCCAAACTAAAAGATAAGAGACACATAAATCAAAATTTAAAATTAATACTGTAAGTACCGCATATTGGTATTTTGAAAAAAAAAATCTTTGCTGATGTTGCAGCTTATTATCATGTATTACAATAAACGAAACTCTTACCGACTCTTTAATATCGATTTTTCAGCTTTTTGTGAGGCCATTATCCATTTGACTATAATAACTATGCACTTTCAACAACAGTCTTTATTAAATTTCACTCGTTTGAATTCTACATTTACACCTCTGACATTGAACGGTTTAAATATCCTGTGATCATAACCGTCATCCGCCCCGAATCGTTTAATAGGCATAAACAATATGATAGAGAACCTGCTAAAGAGATAGGTACTACACAAGAATGTCGGTTTGCCTTACTCACATGCAAGTGGATATGATTGCTGGGCAAAGCCAAACCAAGAAGTCCATTGCATAGTCACCTTAAATTCTCAGATTTAGGGATCCTTTACAGCTGTAATGGACGGTCGTACAACTAAAATAAATCAAACACCGATTGACCCAGAATTTGATATTGAACAAACAATAAAAGTATCAATTAAAAGTCTAGTTCTTCATTTTTTACGACAAGTTCAATTAAGCTGTGAACGCTTTATTCTACTAGAATTGACCAATCGCTCCCTGTTATACGAAAGGATCCCATGAAAACCTTTTGCTCTATTACAATTATTTTATGAACGCATAAATCTGTTATTTCTCATTTTGCCGCCAAATCTAGTACTCCACGATTTTGTTAGAATAAACTTGTAAACTTGTCAGTGCATGTCACTACATTATTTAGTTCTTAGAGTGAATAACATAAATATAAACAGTTGAGTTGTAGTAATTTGCACAACTATCACGCTAAACAATGGTAAATATTTTTATTTTGATTATTTAAGAATATTGTGTGTAACTGGTCAGCAAATAAAATTCTGTAAACCTTCTTTTTAATTTTCAGTAACATATTTCTATTTACACACATATATATATAATGATCGCTCCTTTTATATCAAATACACTTTATCAAATGCATTATGTTTTTTAGAGTCAAGCAAGCTCTCCTGTCCGATCGGATAGAAGAACGGATGCAATGACATCTCCAGCACCAGATATTGATGAACCATTTGAGGACGAAAGTGAACTGCTTGGTGGAGGAAGTCAGGATGATGTTCCTCAGGAAGAAGAAGAGGGAGAGGAATTATTTGGAGCTAATATGGAAGCGTAAGTTTCAAAGGATTTGTATGTGCTCATGTTCAGAAAAGGTGGTCCTTATTCTTTGTAAATATTACTACTATCAGTAAATCATCTCTTTTAGGGATTATCGGCCTATGCCTGCTCTTGATCGTTATGATCCAAATATGGTTGATGATGAAGAATACTCAGAACTTTCTCAAGGAGACCGTGTTGCTGCTGAAGTAGCAATGCGTAAACGAGATCGTGCAGCAGGCATTATAAGAGATGAGAGAGATTTATTATATGGTAAGTGTGTTGCTGCCATAATATTTTAATTTGAAATTGACCATGTTACATCCTTTATTTCTTTATAGAGGAAAGTGATGAAGATGAATTACCCACTCATAAACGACGTTTGGCAGAAAAAGCTGCAGCTGGAGAGATGGATGATGTGGAGGTTGGTTTACTACACTCTCTTTTATTATATTTATTTCATATGTCATTCGTACAAATGATAAGTCATTAACTTTTAGATGATTGAGTCGATTGAAAATTTAGAGGACACAAAAGGATATTCAGTCAAGGAATGGGTTCAAATGTTGGGACCTCGTACAGAGATCGCTAATCGTTTCAAAAGTTTTTTGCGTACACATACGAATTCAAAAGGACAGTATATGTACAAGGAACGTATCCGTCACATGTGTGAAAGTAATCAGGTACATTTTTGTGTATACAAGAAATCGTGATCACTGGGTTCTTCCTATATATATACTGATTACTCTCTTACAGTCAAGCTTTGTGGTTGAATTTCCAATCCTTGCTGGTAAAGAGCATGTTTTGGCTTATTTTTTACCGGAAGCACCATCTCAAATGTTAGAGATATTTGATATAGTGGCCAAAGATTTGGTTCTAACTATTTTTCCAAGTTATGAGAGAGTCACATCAGAAATTCATGTAAGAATATCGGAATTACCACTTATAGAGGAATTACGTACATTCAGGTAAAAGTTTAAAAGACATCCGTTCATTGCATTACAACTGTTCTTTTTCAATATTAGTTGAACAAACAAGAGTATCATATACTTCATATTATTTTTATCATTCACAGAAAGTTACATTTAAACCAGTTAGTGAGAACTCTGGGTGTTATAACTGCAACAACAGGAGTTCTGCCCCAGTTATCTGTAGTGAAATACGATTGTAATAAATGTGGTCATATTCTTGGTCCGTTTGTTCAATCTCAAAGTACAGAGGTCAAACCTGGTTCATGCCCACAATGTCAAAGTATCGGTCCCTTCACGGTCAGTAAATTTACATTCGTACAATGAATTTCATTACCTAATGTCGTACCACTATTTCATCTTCATTACCCAAGATATAAATCATCTATTACATGAAATATTTCAGATCAACATGGAGCAAACCATATACCGTAATTATCAAAAAGTAACAATTCAAGAATCCCCTGGCAGAGTACCAGCTGGTAGAATTCCACGAAGCAAAGATTGCATTCTCCTATCCGATTTATGCGACCGTTGCAAACCCGGGGACGAAGTAGATATCACTGCCATTTATACCAATAGTTATGAAGGTTCCTTAAACACAGAGCAGGTAAGTTAACAATATTGTTTCATTTTATATAAATCCATATTCATATTAACAAGAATAATCTTATATACATTTTACACAGGGTTTTCCAGTATTCTCGACGGTATTACTAGCTAATCACGTATACGTGAAAGACTCAAAAGACATTGTAGAATCTTTAACAGAAGAAGATATTCGCAACATTCATGCATTAGCCAAGGATCATCGTATAAGTGATCGTATCGTAGCTAGTATAGCACCTTCAATTTATGGTCACGATTTCATCAAGAGAGGCCTCGCATTAGCGATCTTCGGAGGTGAATCAAAAAATCCTGGTAAGTTATTTTTGATTGAACCCATCAATTGAAACGCTTGCTTCCCCTCCAACTAATGAATATCCAATCCGGCCATACAGGTAACAAGCACAAAGTTAGGGGCGATATAAACGTCCTAATATGTGGCGACCCTGGAACGGCCAAGTCACAATTTTTAAAGTATATGGAAAAGATTGCACCACGAGCTGTCTTTACAACAGGACAAGGTGCTTCAGCAGTTGGTCTAACTGCATATGTCAGACGATCACCAACTACGAGAGAATGGACTTTAGAAGCCGGTGCATTGGTACTGGCTGATCAAGGTATCTGCTTAATAGATGAATTTGACAAGGTAAAATCTGCTTGGTGCAATATGTTATAAATCTTTTAATGTACCTTGTTCTACGAATATACATATCTAAAGGGGAGATATACGTTTTTAGATGAACGATCAAGATAGGACCTCCATACATGAAGCCATGGAACAACAAAGTATTTCTATTTCAAAAGCTGGAATTGTCACGTCACTTCAAGCCAGGTGTTCTGTTATAGCAGCATCAAATCCTATTGGTGGACGATATGATGCCAGCATGACATTTTCCGAAAATGTATGTAAACGAGAATCTCCTTACGTTATGCTTGAAGTATTAAACAACATAGTATTAGTAAAGAATATAATAGTAATGGAAATATATTTTGATACTTAGGTAGATTTATCAGAACCCATTCTTTCACGTTTTGATATTTTGTGCGTCGTCAAAGACGAAGTAGATCCCATGCAGGATCAGCATTTGGCAAAATTCGTTGTGAATTCACACATTAAACATCATCCGGCTAACACGGATAAAACTGTAACTGAAGAATTGAATACATCTACCAATGACTTACAAATTCCCCAAGATCTTTTGAAAAAGTATATTGTATACGCGAAGCAAAATGTCCATCCTAAATTGACGAACATGGATCAAGATAAAGTTGCAAAAATGTACAGTCAGTTGAGGCAAGAAAGTTTGGTAAATATCTGCTGTCTATAATTATATTTGAATGTAACGAATTTATGTTTCTGATAAGTTTTTCTTCTACAGGCAACTGGAAGTCTTCCTATAACAGTACGTCATATTGAAAGTATAATACGAATGGCTGAATCTAGTGCAAAGATGCATTTGCGCGATCATGTATTAGAGGATGATGTGAATCTTGCTATTCGTATGATGCTTGAAAGTTTCGTCGATACACAAAAATATTCTGTCATGAAGAGTATGCGCCAGGTCAGTCATAGGCTTGGAGTTTTCAGATATCATACTTGCACACATTTTAATGCTAAGCATTTCATTTACTTGCAGACATTTCAAAGATACTTATCTTACAAAAAAGATCACAGTGAACTACTGTATTACATCCTACGACAACTTACTTTGGATACCTTAGCATTTCAGAAAGCATTACATGGCGGTCGAGTTACTACAATTGAAATTTCTGAAAAGGATCTGCTGGACCGGGTACGCATAAAATAATGATTCTTCTACCTTCAATGTTTCAAAATTGATACTTGGTTAATAACATGTTTGTCGTTCTTTGGCATTTCAGGCCAGACAAATCGATATACATAATCTGAATCCATTTTACGAGAGCAACATATTCAAAACAAACAATTTTGTTTACGTTCGGAACCGAAAGGTAATTGTGCAGACACTACCTGAAGCTGTTGAAGATTGAACATCGGAAGAAGTTTACCATATATTTTTTTAACGGCAGCGCATAATGATGTATACAAAATTCATTATAACAAAAATCTCCACTTTTAACGATACCACTCAAGTGCCTTTCAAACTTGTATGTAATGTTCACTATGCAATGTTTTATAAATACTGAGTTTTTATAATACGCATACAAAACTTAACATTTATTTTTACCAAACAAATATCCTGCTACCATACCAATATATGGTCACAAAATTATAAATATTGCATTTAACACTGAAGAACATACAAAAATAGTACAAAATTTCTATACTCCATCACGAGGTCATAGTTGATCGAACTTTGTTATAAGTCCTAATATTTCACTTATAATATTGTTTATTAGCATTCGTTTGGCTAACTCTTTACCGGGCTAGCACCACTTTTTTTTATTTATTATTACAAGGTATTAAATTAATCAAGAATGAACTTATATGTAACATCGTATATCAACGCTTCTAGCATCATTATTTCGTATTCCCATTATAAAATATCTAGTATCACATGTTTAAATATCGAAGTGCATACAAATATTTTTACGGGACAAATATATTTATGCCGGTAACAGTAAAAAATATCAGTACATTACTAATGTTATATGTGTGATAATTTTGTTGTAAAGATGTATATGTATACTAATTATTAACGCATAGTTGCAAAATTGATATAGTAGTATGTTTTATAAAGATTAACATAAATAGATTAAAGTGTCTTTTATTAAAAATAAAAGTGTGTACCATGAAATGTAGATAAATTATAGCAAGTACTGTATCAAAATTACATACTCCAGAACGATTTCATTACAATTTATTGTCATGTAACAAATCATAGTAAAATTTTACATATAATTTGCTGCTATTCAATAGTACATTCTTTCATTTTATATAGTTGAATGTTATATAGTGTATTCTAAGAAATGTTTGTATTTTTATGCAGTGAATCTTTCAATATCTATCAATTATGTATGGTTATCAAAAATTCTGGAAATTTTTTTCCCAAAAATGAAAGTTTCATTATTTTTCTAATTTTGATATATTAATCAAAAATGTATATTATATTTCTTCAGCATTGAAATATGATGATGTTTACAACCTATTATGCTTGTGATACTACTATTGCGGATATGATTTCTATCTTTGTTAGGAGAACAACAGCAAATCACTTTCTTTAAATTGTACTTTAATTTGAAATATTGAAAAATTATTTTGTAGGATTAATATAATGCATAATTTCAGTTTTATTGGATAATAATGACAGTTAAGATAATTCTTTTATGTAAATCGAACAATACTCATAAGACAAGTGGCAGTATTAAGGACTATCATCGTTTCTTTTTACGAGATCTATCAGAAGAACTAGTAGTGCTACTACTGCTGCTGCTGCTATCACTACTACCACTACTACTACTGCTGCTAGTGGTACTAGTGCTGCTACTGCTACTGCTAGTACTAGACACGCTTTCATTAGAATCTGATTCACTATCCGAAGGAGAGCTATCACTATCAGAACTGTCGCTTGATGAATCAGAATTATTAGAACTGCTTGATTCTTTCCTCATTTTCTTTTGCTTCTGTTTCTTCTTTTCAATAACTTTCTCTTGCTGTCTGTTATTGAAAAAAAATATCTTTAGTATTATTCTCAAGTGTTACCTTACACACTAAGTTATTCTAACATTGTGTAATTTTATTTCCCCGTCTAGTTTACATTCATTTGATATAAAGCTCCATATCACTTATTCACATGTGCAGTGAAATAAAAAATATTATTTATAAAACTTACGGTGCATCCTGTTGTTTTAATGCTTTCTTCAATTGAGTAGTACGGGATGATCGGTGCAAATACTTTCTTTTTCCTTTGCATTCATAACTCCAATGACCCACCTCTAAACATTTTTGACATCGCATTCCTTGAGGATAAGGATTACTGCAAACAAAAAATTATTTAGCAATATAGTCAATTTCTATCAATATTTTTGTATTCGGTATCATTTATTATCGTCTATTATAGAACTATATAATTATAATTCAAATCATATATAATTTCCCAATTTGAAACATCGTTTAATTGCAAATGTAATAAACTTAGGTTACTTTATGGCACTACAAGAATTAACATTGTTGTTGTTTCATAAATATAGCAAAATTATTTAAAATAAAAGTAACCTATGATTCGAATAAATATGCCCATAATATACATTTACTCTACAGAAACAAAGAAATTAATTTAATCATTAGATTAAACTTTCAGATATCATATAACTCTGCGACGAGTATAGGCCAGTAAGGTGGTGTAATTATCAACCTTTGTATGTACATACGTTTTTTTCATCAATTTTATGCCGTTCCCGTACATGGTGACAAGTTATATGTTCACAAATTTACTTAAAATTCGTGAAGTTGCTTGTGCTGGAATTAGTCGAAATAATAAAATGGTACATTCGACGACCAGGAGGTAAAGCACGCGATAAACATGCGAAGTTAGCCACGCTATGTCAATTATAAGTTTGTTTATGACACCCCGCGCACAAGGCGGTGAAGAACAGGAAACTACAACGTCTTCCGGAAATGCTGAAAGTAGTTTAAATATTTGTATCCCATATTGTCATAAACCTATAAAATGTTATTGTCAATTTTATCATAATTTTATGTTAATACCATTTTGCACTTTAAATTACATATACGGGATTTTGTGCAATGTGTGCTTTTCACATTAACGATCTTGCTCTGCAGAGCATCGAGTTCAATGTGACAAAAGACTTAGCTGCATTCGGCGAGATTATATTTCAACAAAAGCAGAAATCTCTGCTAGACAAGAAGCGAAAACTTGTAAGAGAATGAGCATGAGTAGAAAGTACTACTTATATAAAAATGATACAATTATAAATGTTATATATTTTTCTAATGTTAAATACTCCTGTAGAACGAGTTACACTTAAAAGTTTGGAACAACGAGAATACGATTTGCGACGATGTTTGGAAATTCAGTCAAGAACATGATTTTTACACTATCTTAAAACAGTACGACGATGCTACAGAGAAGCGGAATGAAAAAATAAAACATGGAAGGGGTAAATACGTAACGGACAATGAAAAAAAAAAAATATTTTATTCATTGTTTTTGCATAAATATTATACAGATATAGAATGGGTGAATATTAGTGAGCTGAATTATGAAATAGAGGCAATCGAACAAGAAATCTATTATTTAACTGAAAATGATTTAAAACAAAAGAATTTAAAGGAAGCGTTGAAAGATTTGGAGTTAGCTCAACGCTTTTCGAAGGAAAATAATGATGTCAAAAGGTATTTATCTATTATGATTGGATTACGTAAGAACTAATCGCAATGTCTCACCATATGAAAATCATTCCATAATGAGTTTCTTTCCATAATAAAAATATTAAATTATTTTTAGTCTACTGCGTGCAATAGAGAATTCACGGCAGGAAATACTGGCAATAGAATGTGGAATAGAGAAGTATATGAAAGTAGAAGAAAATAATAAAATTATATTACCCAGTAATAATTTCGACATCAAAAATGAAAGAGTTCTAGATAAGTCAAAAGAACCTTACAACAATTCTCGAAAAAATATCTCCAACAATAAAACAAATATAAGCGATGACAATAATATAATCGCAAAGAAAAAGCGTAAAAAAAGTATTCCACTTCCAAAAAATATGTCAAAGTTGGAGTTTATGACGCCTGCTACAGTAGCAATGAATAATAACGTGGAAATTAACACAGCAAAAAATAAATCTAAACTATCGTCGGAGCATAAGGATTTATTACGAAAATCTTCTTACCTTGAAAAGAGAAGTAGCAGAGATAGAAAAATATTAGGGAATTCACCAGCTTCGAGCGACCAGAAGTCTTTTATCTCAGCAAGTTATGGAAAACATGATTTTATTACGGCCAAAGCAATATTAACAAATAATAATTCAATAAGAGAAAAGAACAACAAAAACACTGTACAACACGCTGTATCTCGGAAACATATAGGACCGGTCATATTAAGTCCATCAAGCTTTTTAATTGCTCTCAAAAACACTATATCCATAGAAAGCTATAATGATAATGAGTTTGGTAACTCTCATCGAAACTCTGAAATTAATGAATTTACCAAGCAAAGCGTGAGCTTACAATTAACTTTGTAATATAATATAAATGTTTATTACTCGATTAACTATGCATGAATTTATAACAAACCAGTATAATGAAGTCATAAAGACAAACTATACAACTTATGTAAACGGTATATCTTATTTCAGAATACAAAAGCACTTATCACATCAAGTAAATATATCGTCAAGAAGAGGAGTATTATTTCGTTGAAATTAGCAGAACGACGATTAAAACTGGCTTCGGTAAAGTAATTTCGAATGATTAAGTGTCTAGACCATATATTTAATAATCATTTCCATAATCTTCCAATTATATCTGTACTAAACTCGTAGTTCTGTAAACACAAACAAAGTTTGTTACGATTGTAACCGTGTTTAAATTATCTGTATTTGGCAATTAAAATGTAATTTAACCTAAAAGTTGTTGAGAAATTACGATCATTCCGAATATATTTCATAACTTTAAATGAGCATCATCATGTAAATTATACAATTTCATAGAAATTTGTATTCGGAGTCACTCGTTCAACTACACTTAAAATATGAAGATTTTTTATCAACGTCCATTAAATTTAATTTTCTCCAGTATGTTTTAAGAGTAACCCCGATATCCAGATGGGTAGACATTGTATCCTCTGGATGTACTATATCCTCGGCCATAACTACCAGTACGATAAGCATATGGATCATAACCACTGCCTGTACCATAGTTGTTTCCGTAGGTACCATCAATGCCCCGACCTTGGTAGCTGTCATAGTCGTTGGTACCATATCCATCGTTTTTACCATATCCAACATAAGTACCAGACCCACCGTAACTCCCATATGGTGGTATAAATTTCTGACCACCATAGCCTCCAGGCCGGCGATTAGAGGTTAAAGAAAAGTCATCATATCCTCCTCCATATTGTGATCCAGGAAGTCCATATGCGCCTGCACTACCCCCATAAACTCCTAAGTCGTCAAAACCAGCAGCACCGGTAGAACCGTAATAACCGTAACTAAGGATTACAAAAACGATATACGATATAAAGTTTCTGGCATATATGTATATCTGTATAATACAATGCAATCTTTGCATAAAAAATAATCAGTAGTATAACAAATAATTTTACCCAGTATGGCCACCACCAACAACTCCAGTGCGAAGTGGATTCTGATAACTTCGATATCCGGTTCCCAAACGTGTATCAGGATACGCAATAGAACCTCCGTAAGCAGAACCTGTACCGATTCCTGGATAAACACCGTAAAGTCCTACACCAGATGCAGTAGGGAGGCTACTTCCAACACCGTAACCACTAGGACCGTAACCACTGTAGTCTCTACCGATAAGAAATGCTAGAACAGAGGAAGCTTTTACAAGAACTATAAAATATGTACACCAGTTGCCTACAATACTTGTTTGAACACAAGCTATTGTGAATAACGAGTGTTGTCTCAAGAATGGAAGAATTCCCACGATCTCTTTTAATTTAAATATGGTTCCATCTGTGTAAAGTTTTTGAATATGACAATGATAAAACTCATAAAGTCATAAATCGTAACCAATTGCGAACAAAATGTAAACAGAACAGCTTGCAAAGGTTTTCTCGAAACGTAATTAAATTTACATGAGATAAAGATAAGTAGATAGAGAATAATATGTATTCGCAATTAATGGCTTCCCCCAACTTGGCTAATGAATAACTGGGATTGCCCAAGAGAAGCAGGTTTACTCCAACTTCTCGTATAAAGTTTAACGTTAAATTGTAAAAGACAAGGACAACAATTATTATCGAAGAATGTGTGTCAACGTTGGCATATTGAGTTATATGGCAAAGGAAACGGATATGACGTCATGCATACTGGCAGGTATATAATTAATCAACATAATAATTGACCGTGATGTCATTATTTAATGATCCAGATCCATTATATTTCTTGTACTTCTTTTTTATCACTATATTTGCACAGTGCGTATGTCTGAGAAAAAATTGCACAATTTTTGCACTATCATCCTGTGTCTGTTCAAGATTAAAAATATTTGTTGCATGATATTTAGCTTCCTATGGCCATTCATGGAGTATATATGGAATTAACTACACATGCTTGTAAAGCTAACTATCATGATGACGTACGTGACAGAAATAAAGGAATAAACAAGTATAACTTTATACAGAATATGACGATTATACAGACTTTATTGAATTTATGAAAACTAGATGATACACTGTATAGAAATCAGGATAAAAGAGATGAACTCTCAATACTGATTATACAAGAGATTTTTTTGATATCCGTTAGGGCAGCAATTCTATAGCCCGAAGAGAGATCGATCACTGTTCAAGGAGATTAGAGCTCTTTCTTTGCTCTTTATCCCTCTGGGAATTTTCGAATAAAGACTAGACTTAATCTTTGAGAATTTTAAGAATTGCAGTGCGCTATTAATAAGAAATGTAAAGCTTACTTCTATCGCTAGCAGACACGTCCAAATCCTTAGATTTGGTTAAATCCTTAGCAGAGTCCTTGAGAGCATCTTCGACTACTGGGATACTTGAGAACGTGAACTTTGAGGATTCTTGAGCATTAATTTCACTCCTCGCGAAGGCTATTGAGCAGACTAATGCGTAAGTCTGTGGATATAGAAAAACGCAAAGAACATTAACGTTAAACGAAGCATGCAAGTTTCATCTGTCACGGTCGGTTTTAATCTGAACAACCGAGGACGTTCTCACGGTGTAATTTTCTCTAAGTAAAGAATACGGCATAGATTACGTACGAGGAATATTTCAAAAAATATAGATATAACGTATTACGTACCAATGACGACAGTTTATAATGAACGATATACTCGTTCGATATAAGAATCGTGGGATCGATAATCGCACGAACGATAATAGCAATTTGAAACGAGAAGTGTCAGAAAAGATATTTCAAGTGTACGTATAAGGATTCTTATATGGTATAAAAACTGATATGCTCTATACAAAATAAAGTGAATGGTTTTTACCTTAAGCTAAAGATAAGATATACAAATATGTAAACCAGAGTTATGATTGAAGGTATCCAGTAAGATTTATATAAAGAAATGGAGCCGATCGAAAACGAATGAGCGTTAAACATCCATCGAACATAACGTTTCAAATATAAAGGTTCAAAAACCATACGTTTCTCACAGGCTGTTTCCTCGTCTATCAAATTATATCGCATAGTACGGGACTGTAACAACGTGAAAATCAGACTGGAAGAATCGCGCATTCATGAGAAAGAAATGAATTTTCAAAGAGGAACGTCAAGATAAATCATATATATAGGGAAAAAAGTTTTACTTGCCAACAAGTGCCTCTTCATGTTTGCTACTCCCATTGGACCTTCAACTTCTTACATCCGATTTGACTTTTCAGTCAAATTCCCTGCGTGCGTCCAAAATTGAATTCACAGTTCCTAGCTCCGTTTTCTTTTATCTCCGTCACCTTGTCACTCTCTATATATGTATATCCTTTTATTTAACTGTATAAATCTTACATGGCAATTCCGTTCTTTCCCTGAAAGTTGTCTCAAATTCTTCTTTATATACGCTCTTTCCCTCTCTTCTCTGATCCCACCTAGAACCGGTAATACTATGAGTTCTCCCATGCGAGCAACTAAGGCGTAACCTCTTTTTGAATGCAGTCATCCATCGACAAGGTCATCCTCTAGAAACAGGGCTTGGCTTTTCACAAATCGGCTAAACCGTCTCGACCAGCCCGTGGGAAAATCTCGACTGACTCGACATGTATGCACTAGACTCTTAGTCATACATACGTTATTTCTTTGTTTAACTACGTTCCGTCGCCTCGCTCCCTGACAGCTCGCAAGGCGAGCACCAACGAACTGAATAATTAAAGCAATTTCAACGTAATCAGAACGAATGAATATAGTGTAAAATGATAATTTACAGTTCAGATTAGTTTATATCAGACACATTAAAACATATGAAACAAAAAAACGTATTATCAGTAAAACCCACTGTCCGTAATTCAATAGGTAACTTAATGGGTTACTTTTTGCTGGTAACTCTGGATAACCTTTTTACTCGGACCCTCCAAATTCACGCCCATTAAGCTTCTAACTAGTAGCAAACTCAATGGGTTCTCTTCTACGAAGTTCTTACGATTTAACATCTATAGGTATCTGCCACTCTACCTTACGTCAAATTTTCTACTCCGTTTTCTTTAATGCAGACTCATAGCGATTTTTGAGTCCACATTCTCGACGCTGTAAGCTAACACTCTTGCCACATATCCTGCCGGAATGAGAATTTTATCGATCTCAAGACGCTTCAGTCACCGTCGTTGCTCTCAAGGTGGAAGAAACATGCGACTCATTGGATATTACGAACCGTTACTTCCTGTCACAAGGCGTCCTGTTCTCAGTCGTATTATAGATAGATATACATGGTTTATTTTTCATGGAATTTTATAGGCGTTGACTTGTATGTACCGCATAAAACATTAAAATACTATACAATATAGACTCAGACTTCGACTCGATCAATTTATATCACATGGAACAAGAGTCACGTCTGTTTGAATAAAACGTAAAAGTAACGATATTCTATTTTAGTATAGCTACTACTGGTACCATTCCATCTCTACGTAGACAACAGGTGTTTTATGAATATAACTATTAGAGCTTAAGGCAAGAAAACAGAGAATGAATTTCAAAAGTTCAACAACTGCTTTCGCAATTCTTATTTTTGCATAAGCCTTATCTTTTATTCTTATTTATTTTCAACTTGAATGATAGTGAAAGGGATACGTATCAGATAAAGATTCAATTTCGGAATATGCCTGGAGGCCTGCCTGCAACATGATGAGAATTTTTCGTTATTTTTCCCGTAAAATTCATGATAAAATTCACCGTACGAAACAGTAATCGTGGGACATCGTTATCAGTTTATTACTTATTGCTTATAACACACGATATTTTGAATGGCTGCAAGTAAATTTTACAGTGCACATGGTAATAGTACATTATGATACAAATAAGGGAAGTTGGTAATTCCTGACGAGTGTGACGTTTGCTGTTCGAGCGAAGCAAGATATTTCCCGCACACACTGAACTCATCAAGAATGGACCATTTTGTGTTTGTTTTTTGGTGCACAAACTTTATGCAACATAGTACGGAAAGTTCGCAGTATATGCACTAAAAAGAAGCACAAAATGGCCAATTCTTGATAAGCTCAGAGTGTGCGGGAATCATCAAGAATGGACTCTATTGTGCTTGTTTTTGGTGCATAAACTGCGAACTTTCTGTACAGTGTTGCAAAAAATAGTATACGATACGCGTGCGGGTTGGTGATTCCTACTTCCCACACTTGTATCATAATGTACTATATTCGCAATTTTTGCTGCTTTTCACGGTCAAATTTAGCTAATTCAATTAAATATTTTCTGTTCTTTTACCTATATTTTATATCCTATCGATATTCCTAGTGTCTTTCGGAGGGCAGTGCTGTGTCATAGTGCAGGGCCCACCTGAATGTCCCCCTGGATGGAGTTCTCGGCTTTCACGGATCAGCTGAACCAGCTCCGGTAAGGACCCCCAATTTATTAATAGGTGGAGGGATTTCGATTTTATAACTCTAATTCGTCCTGCTACGTTCTTGATCAATTTCTCCCTGTTTCCAGCACTATTTACCTGACGATTACTCCGACCCTCTCTACCTCAACCTAGCAGCCTGAGCTGCTGTGCGTCTTCGTAACGTTCGCTCCCGTTCGTGCATCCAGTTGCGTTTCTCGATTTCACGCCTTCCCAAAAATCGACAGGATTCGTTAAGCTATCGTCCTTTTTCATAGGTTCCGTCAGATTTCTCGTTTTGGCGGAGTTGAGACTGCTCCATCTGAACTTCCAGGTCATATCGGCTCATCAGGTCCCGGTGAAAGAAAGAATTGGCTGCCGTCCGCCTGGCATGTCGATTCATGGACGAAGGGTGAACGGCCGAAGGTGACTTAGGTTAGTTCTCGGTTTTACGTTATCGGTATCGAGTAGAGAAAATACGTTACATAGCATGATAGAATAATGGTTCATCTTCGGAACACATCATTATAATATTATCTAGGTATAATAATGTCGATTCCTTGAAAATTAATTTTGTTAATGACAGAAGCTACTTCACATCTTTCTACGTGAGTTTCTGCTGGCTTCTATCACATTATTAAGAAGGATTAATCTAAGGGTTCGTACCAGTAGCAGTACAAGAACCAAAATCGCTGAAGTGTAGTGAGTTGAACCTTTTTACGAACGGAAGTTATAATTGGCTTTTAAAGTGCTTTAAGCCCTGGAGGACATTTTATCGTTTTATTTAAAGATAACGGCATTGTAGGGACTTGTATAAGATACATGTCTTAAGATAATATCAAAAAAAGGTAAATAATATGGAAAAAGACTATATATATATATAATATATATTCCATATATATAATATATAATATATATATATATATATATTCCACTCTGCTTCTAATCATTCGTTTTTAACAAAGTTAATACATAAGTCTAGAGGCCAAATTCGGAGGAAAATGCTTATCATGAAAGAATTTTGAAATCAGTTGTCGTTTTCAAGTAGAAGATCATAGGAACAACTAGACAAGGGATGACGTGTGGTCAATTTCATTTTTTTTAAATATTCAGTAGGTCTTCGGGTACTTCACGTGGAGCGACTAGGATTAAAAATGATGCCAGCTAATGTCAATTTGCCTACTAAAATAAAAATAACTGTAACAACAAAATAAAATACGCATTCAAACGAAGTATAAATAAGAGGCACATCTTTATAAGAGATATAGCAAACGCTGTAGAAATTACGAAAGTTTGTCTGGAAACAAATTTGACTATTTGTCAGAGAATCTGGTAATCCAGTACTTTATCAAGGTATTAACTTGGAAGACCTACATAGTCGGTTCATATTTAATATAAAGCTTGTCCGATCCTATACAATAACATGTAGAATTCCGTAAATTGTATTGATATAACCATAATTACTTTTAGGATCGTAATTAAGCATGGGACAAGTCTATTCGGAATTTCTAACAAATTGTCCATTACCTTAAATTATTCTAGCAACCTAATCGAAACATGATAAATCCAATAATGCGCTAGATAACAACTTTCATTAAGGATACAATTAACCCTTTGAAATATAGTATTAGTTATGTCAGGGGTACCACCTGGAAACTTTATAAAGAAACAGTAATTTAAATTCGATTAAAGCAAAAATTGGTATCCGGAGGTTTTAAGATTTAGTGAATTCGGATCTGAATTAAAAATCTTCAAATTCAAATAGCTGATCCAATATGACGGACCTAAATTAACCTTTCGTAGCAAGAAATGTTCCTTCATGTTCTCTTATCTCAATCATCATCAAACTCGATGGTCCAGGACTTTTGAGGTCGCTGATTGCAAATTTGAAGTCAGAATTAAAAAATTTTTTAAAAAACGGATCCAATATGGCGGACCGAAATGCAAAAAGTTACTTGAGTTCGATGAATTTTTGTGGGTTCGCTTATTACGAATCTAAATTTGTACTTTTCAAATCCAATATAGCGGACACATTATAGAAAACTTAATTGAGTGGAGTTCAGATTCATAATCAAAGACCTTGAACACCTCTGAACACGAATTTTTATAAGTCAGCTTACTCTGTTTATCATTCCAGCCCCTCATATTGGATTCACTAATTTGAATTTCTGAATATTGACTTCAGATTCATAATCAGCAACTACAGAAACCTCCGATAACTAAATTTCAAGTGAATCGTATGTAAAGATAAATGTATGCTTCAAAGAGTTAAGCATAATTAGTCAAAAGTAAGTACTACGTCCATTCTGATTTCGTCCCTATGAACAGGACCTAGGACTAATACTTGTGTATTCCGAACTTAAGCGGAACTTGTACAATATTCTTTTTTCGTGCCACAGAGAAAAACGAAATCAGATTTTTAAAAAATCGAATTGATACTTATTTGTTATCACGAGTTGCTTACTCTATATACGATATCTTCCATATAGTCTAATTTAATCTCAATCTTCTTACCATTCTCATCCCCTACTCAGACAAATACATGTCCAAAAGTCATCTTTAGGACGTCTTAAGACTACTTCTGTGCCATTAGACGCCTTAAAGACGAATTTTAGACATTATGTGTTGTGCGGGTATAGTCCTTAGAAACATTAATGGTTAATCACTTTGTTCCACTAAGCTGTAAAGAGACATTACAAAAAACAGAATGCCATAAAATAAACACGATACTTTCGTAATTGTTTCAAAGCTGTGTCAAAAATTCCCTCGAGACTGAATATAAAATTTATATCGCCAAACCGTAAACTTCAACTTCAGACCCTTTTTATAATCTTACTAAAATATCCAGTTTTCCATAATTTATAATAGCGAATTTGTTGGACATTTCGAAGATCCTGTGTCTTATACAATTCTATGTCACTTCTCATCTAATTCCTCGTGTGAGAATGTAAAATATTTATTTTTTGTAAAAAATGCTCAAAGAATACACCGTGATTTGTCGTCAGAGGACACCTTAAAATATGATTTTTTAGACGTATGACTATAAAATTATCTAAAAATTTAAGAGTGACGTCATATCTAAAATATTTTCAAGAAAAGGAAAACCTATTTAAAAATATTTTTCAGGCAGGTTAACAGTGCCATCTCTCGTCAAAAAAGAGCCAGACGGCCTTTTCTTTGAA